TATATATATATAGTATATATATATATATATATATATATATATATATATATATATATATATATATATATATATATATATATATATATATATATATATATATATATGAGATAGTTGTAGCCTTTTTCATCTCCATCGAAACCATATTGTGCTGCTATGCAATCCTGTGCATAGACTTGAATGTGTGTAGATCGTCATTTGTGTGTTGCTGCATAGTACTGAGTTCCGATCACCGTATTCAATCAGACTGGTGTATTCTTTCCTGTATCCATGTTTGTATCATGAGCTTCAAATTATCCGCAACACGCATTGAATCACGCCAAGCATGCCTGATACATATGTGCGTTGATATGCAGCCATGCTAGCGATCGTTATAAATATGTTATTTTAGATTGCTGACAGTTATTGTCGCATCTATCACTCCCAGTGTTTCTTTGTCATATATTTTTGCCAACAGATTGCCTTTGCAGTGTGGAACTCGAACATTACTTGCGTATACTCATTAAGAAAAAATATCAAAAATATATAACATTCAGTTTTGAAAGACGGCTCGGATTTGGGTGTAATTTTTCTGTTATTGTTTAAATACCTGTTACATTTCGAGCATGTCTATCCTATTTATAAAGACGGCATGATCGGCGGCTCTCTCACTCAAGTCCCTCCCCCCCGCCGCCCTTCACTCTCACACTCGCTCGCGCGCTCTCTCTCTCTCTCTCTCTTAGACTAGTAGAAGAAGTATCGCATTAAAATTAATTTTGTGCACTTGTGTGATTTCTTCTTTTTTTTGACACAGAATTCACCAAACCAGCATATACCGGTCGCAGAGACTCCAGTACCTCCAGCCATTCAGTATCAAGTTCATTGCCAAACATCGGGCCCAGGAAACGAAGCGTGTAAGTTCCGGTTGTACGGCTATACACAAGCATGCCAGTTGCCCTTTTTCGGATACCCACAGGTGCATATTAGTTTCTACGGTTCTGTTGTGGGGGTGAATAAGTATAAGTGCAATGTAGAGGTAGATGGAATGGGACTGTACGTATAAGTGAAGATTCGATCACCATTTGTCGAATATTTGATATGTTGTATTGGGATGAGTGTCTCTTACATCATCCTCCTCTCAATGTTTGCACAGACTTGTGGCAGAATCCCGTGAGTCCCATTGAAACCACACAAAGATAAGAGTTCAATACGTATCAACACTGATACTTAGCGTCCAAAATTGACAACTTTATTTTTAGTTTTTGTCCGGAATGATCGTATCGAACACATGTGTCCCTTCACATTTGTATAGACAGTCCTGTGGCAGAGTCGAACAACTGAAGTACAGAGTCGCGTGTACGGAACATCACCACTGTGAAATCGGCGATGAATGTGCATACACATACTTATATATCTTAATATCGATGGGACATGTATCTTGCAGGTACATTCGATGGGAGGACACATGTCTTACATATACATTCGATGGGAGGACACATGTCTTACATATACTTTCGATGGGAGGACACATGTCTTTCATATACATTCGATGGGAGGACCCATGTCGTGCATATACATTCGATGGGAGGACACATGTTTTACATATACATTCGATGGGAGGACACATGTCTTACATATACATTAGTCTATAGAAGTGTGAGAATGGTGTGCTATTTTCTACCAGCGCCAGCCTGTACCGAAACTCGTATTCACACTCATTTGTTCATGTTCCACAGCCATGTCGCAGAGTCGAATAACTACTATATAGAGCCGCGCTTACGGAAAATCAGTCGCAGTGAAGTCGATTTTGATAGGGACGACGATCTCGAAGCAGATGCTGCGTTACTGACGGACTTGCACAATGAAAGGAGGTAAGCTTCTGTTATCGTACGGATAGTACATATGCATGCCAAGCTAGCATAAATTCCTCTAAAAATAGGTTTGTAGGGTGTATTCTGGTCTATATATATATACCTGTGTATGCGTGTAGATAGGCAGAGCATGTCGCTCAATCAGTTCTAACTTTTTTTTGTATCTGCCTTCTTCACAGTAATAGTGTATTCAAAATGGACATGGACAGCGATAGGAAAACATCACCCGACTCACAGGTACGTAAACCGTCAGTAGCAATAGGGAAGGTGTCACGATTGTAGTTATGTTACTCCGCATATAGACGTACAATATGGTGACATTTTTACATCCGATCCCACATCCGATCCAACACTGTGAGGTTTCAGTACCTATTGTAAACTGCTTTGCTGTCCAGAGATATACAACCATATATACATATTAGTATCTCTGTGTTACATGCATAATGAGATACTATTAACAGTCAAGGCACAAGCGCACTAGTGAACACATATGCCAGTGTTTGAAGCGAAGTACATTACTATGTAGGGACTCGATTGGTGTACCCTTCCATATTTTCACCAGATAGACACAGGCTGTATTTTTGTGGAAAGTGTATCCGCCGTTACTGGCGTTAGCAGACTATATAATATGGCAGAGTTTATGATATGACATAGGAGGTGCATCGACAACGACGCACAGTGCTACTTTTAACTTTTGTATGATTTTAGTTTGTCCTCAAAATATTTAAAGGCTACCAACCACTTCTATTGGTTATGTATCCCTTGCCACCTATATCTTGCTGGTGCACGGAGATTAAACCGCCAGCACCATGTGATCTTAATACCCTTCAGAACTATAAGACGCTTGAATGTCACCTCAAAATTTTTAACTATCAATATACAACACTTTCCAAAATACACAGCCATGCAAATGCGGTAAGCCCTGGGATGGCAAACCAATGGTCATGTGCGAGGAGTGCATGCGGTGGCTGCATGGGGTATGTTTGCTTCGCTCGAAGGTTTAGAATTTTGTGTTTGTACTTCCAATGTAGCTGTACATCTACGTGCAGATCCTGTCTAAAGTTTTGAAGCGCTGAAGATGCTTATTTTGCGCTGAAAATTCAACGCGAGAGTTTACTATTTTATGACTTTTATCACGATTTCTGAGTGGTTTATATCCAGTATGCACGTCTATGTACCAATCATAGACTATTATTAAATACCCCATTGGACTTGTATCCCTTACTCAAAATCTGTGCATTTCTCTGGTTGGAGTACAAACGTGCATATCTTTCTCGTATCGATATTCTCCAAACGTACAACCTGATTCATGAACATTCATTTGATGGATATGTATGCGAGTGAGCAAGTTCAATGATGCTCACGACAGATTCACTCAAAAATGCTCCGAATTTTCACATAACAGGCGTGTGCTGGGTTGATGGGACGACAACACTTTGTCAACTACGTGTGCATTGAATGCCAGCAGCAGCCACACCCAGCACCGCCGCAAGCGTAGGCCAAACGGCTAAGACTCAGCCCAGCTGAGATGGTCAGGTTTTGTAAGCTTACCTACAGGATGCAGATGAATTTCTATACTGAGTATGAGTAGGTATATATGCACGGACGGCTTGCTGTCGACTGCATATGCATCGAATGCCAACATCAGCGTCCGACACACAACTCGCACTTCAAGCATAGTCTATATCGTCATAGCTAAGTAAACGCTTGTGATACAGGTTTTATGCTACCAAGTACAAGTGTCCGCTGTGGGTGGAATTTAAAGTGTCAAAATCCGCTGTTGATAAATCTACCTCAATTCACACAGACATATTATGTTGCCGGCCTACACGATTAAACGAGGTGAATGCCCCAGATATTATTAAGCACAATCTGAGCCGAAATGGTGCTTATATCATATGTACAGCCAAGTGGCAATAGGTTTGGGTGATGGAGGGGTGGTATGAGTTCGCCGCTGTTTAGTGTCAGGCAGTTGTGATGGCAAGCGTAGCCCTAACATATAACAACTAAGCCAGGGTAGAGTGATAAGGGAGTATTCTACTATCTTCCTGTATATATCCACATCAAGCGTTGCTGATACTACACTACTCATGGCTACGTTTGTAGCATTGACATCACTGGTTGAGCCCAAGTCCGCGCCTGAACCACATAGGGCTGTCGAGCCTAGAACATATAAGCTGCCTATGGCAACATACTGATCTAGCAGCAATACTAATGGATCAAAATCAGAGACTTTTGCTGAAGATCGCCGTGGTTATAGTCAACGGGCGTACTTGCTATACAAAGCAGGTCCGAATATATCAGTGGTGGTGGACATAGGGTGACAATTAGCATCGGACAACTTGATATTTTACACTTCTAGCACTACATGAAGGGTGATGAGTATACAGCTTTAGGACAGGCGCAGAGATCAATGCATCTTCATCCTTCAATACACGCTCGAAGCAAGAATGCGTGAAGAAGCATCCGGTAGTATCGAGCGCCATACGGGGCTTGTACACACCTATAGCTGGGGATGGCACCAGGCATAGGTACATATCATTAAAACAATTATACGATCAAAATTCTAACCTACCTCATATTCAGTTAATTGTACCTGTGTACCGATTGTAGGCCTATAGTCAGCACAGATTCCTAGGGCCGACGGTGTTTTTTCAGGCGAGACTCGATACTACGCCCAATCGAATCTTAAATACATGATTGTTCTATCAATCATGTGTTGAATTTAAACCACCTCTCATCTGTTTATCAGCACAGCACACTAAAAGACAATTAATGCAGGACTAGCTATGAGGAGATTGAAAAAGAATGTGCGTATAGACAAAATTAGCACACCATTTTAAGCTACGAGTCACAAGGTTGTCTTAAGGATTATTTAAATGTGAGAACTGTGAAGACACCGTGGGTGTCCGTGCAACGTAACGTATGAAACCCTCTTCTGAATTCACTTTTTTTTAGCGTTGTATACTTATTTCCGTCTCTATCAGATGGCTTTGCTTTCTCTCGCACGGACTGGACTCTGGACAAAGGTTTAGTACACGCAGATAGAAATCTGTATAGACATTTGGGTATACAGAAAATGAGACGGAAAACAAATTTAGATTACAACAAATGACAGGGATAATAACCCGGAGTATCTATTGAACATTCTTAGAAATAGAGTACACGATGGAGACAATAATCGGAATTAAATCTCAAACTTGTGACACTCTCTCGGAGGTATTTTCAATTTAGATGGGAGTTGAGTATGTTTGTGGGAGAGATATGGGCACCCACTTTATGAGTGAAACCTTAATACCTGGGTTGGCTATATTTTACCGATAGACCAGGACAGGCATGTGTTCCTCTAGTCCTGCGGGGCTCGGGCCACATCAAGTCATAGGTGCAAAATTTATAGATCATTGTGTGTTATTACGAGTATTGTCCTGGTTTATAGGTTTATCACCCCTTGTCCGATGGTAGACAGTTATAAAAATACTCTTCGATGGGTAGGGAGTATATGATACGTCTCTTTAGCCTACACTTATTTTTATACCGCAAGTAGCTTTGATTGATTAAGCGAAAACAGGTTGGTCCATAACATCATCAAAGAAATGTGAATCCCTTTCTCATAAAAGGTTATGCTGGGTAAACCAGTACGCAAGATGTTTTTTTAAATAGCAAGATATTTTGCGTTTGCAGTCAAAGAGCAACTCAATTATATAGAATTATTCTTCTTGATTTCATCACCTGGACCTTCAACCGGCGAGTGTCAGAGTTGTGGCATTACGCCCAGCGTCATCAGTGTAAAAGTATTCCAAGGCGATCCATGATACAGGATTGGCTCATGTCAAGCCTGGCCCTATTTATGGCAGAAGTAAGGCAAGTGAATTCATAAATGTAACAATGGGTATAGTTGATAAAGCTTAGAGTTTACACTATAAAACTTGGATTGTACTTATTATGTATGAAGCAATATGTAGAAACTGCCTAGATAGCAGTTGTTGGATGTCATCACTGTACAAGGTAGGAATGAAGGCTGTGAAAATAGTATTACTGCAGGTATCACCTAACATGGTAAGTATAGAAAGGTGACAAAGAGTTACACTCGTTGTTAGTGGCTAATCATAGCAGAATGCTTTATTTGGGAATATATGATTATATGCATGATTGTGGCGGAGATGTAATGGGTCATTGATGGGAATTAGAAGTTGCTTTTGCTACCATGGAAACCAAGGAAACCAAGGAAACTCAATAGAAAGTAACCCTTAGTGCCCTGGGGAAGACTCTTTGAACACAAGAGGTTTTAATACAGCTGCGATGATGTGGAGCATAGTGTTATCAACCATACTAGCCTGTTCGTTAGGAAACTAGGTTTTTACCACGTTGAAAGTGGTTTCTTATACTCGGCAGTGCACTATTGCTATACTGTGGAGCGCAATACAAATTTACGAGACTCTTGATAAAACTATCATAGTGCAACTAACAGAATGTATAAAGGATTCTTGATGCGGTTTGTACGCGTCTATAGTTATCAAATAGAGGTTTTATTGTTTGAGTTTATATAGATTTTTATTGTTTGAGTTTATATAGA